GGGGGGGGGGGGGGGGATAGCAGATGATATTATGTTAAATGGGGATCTTAAAGATATACGAGAACAGGCGTTTCTTTCTGACAGAATGCGTTCAAAGTATGTTTTAAACCACTAACTTGGAGAAGGGTTGAGTAATAGTCTATTTACCAGGATCCTAGAGAAATAAAAGGACCGACAGTGTTCACTATGTACGGTATAAAAATTTCTTTTTGTCTTCAGGAACTACCTGTAAAGCTGTTGATAAACCAGATGGTTGTTCGGTATGTTTTGGTGACGATTGGTAAGTCTGTTTATCTTATGAAGTTTTCTGTGGTCCTTGTGTTGATCCAGTTGAAATATTGTATTAGTCCAATTGGATACAGTACAGTTCATCGTAAAATTCTAATTCATTTTATTAGTCCAATAAGTTGCCAAAGCTTGTTCGGTACTCAATAGACGAAATGAAGGACTGAAGGCTGCAAAACAAGAAGATGGGTTGCCACTTATCTCGAAGCTATACCAATATATAATATATTCATATTTTTGCAGTTCAAAACTTAGACACGCCTCTGACTGTTTAATGACAGCAGGTGACATCGTTCTTCCAGAAGATCGTTTCATGGTCGGAACGGTAATGGAGTTCCGATACGACCGGATGTTGTTCCAGCTTTTTGGATCGCGTAGACGTGTTTGTCAGTCGGATGGAGTTTGGTCCGGTAGAACAACAACCTGCGTACCACGTAAGTTGTTCAGGTTGTAAGCTTTTTGGCTGAAATATATTCAACAGTTTCAACAGCTGGTCGAACATAATTACATCGTTTTAACAACCGACAGTTATTAACCCAATCAAGAGAAGATTTCAGTTCTCCGCCCAATACACTTACTACTTCAAAGAATTAAGTGAATACTTTTTTCAGGGTGTGGTATTCATTCCTTTACGCGGAAGATCGGCGTTACGCCGAGAATTCGCATGGGCCTTCCGACCAGTGACGGAAAATGGCCCTGGCAGGTCGGGATAATATGGGATCAAGATAACCTAAGGCTTCAATGCGGTGGATCGTTGATATCTGAAGATATGGTTTTAACTGCTGCTCATTGCGTCGAAAGTGCGAGTGGTAAGTTGGTATTGCTAATCAATATTTCAATAGTTCAAATCTAGGAACGGTCGTCGACAAAGCGATATGTCGTATCTCGTATATTTCTAGCTATAGTTGTGAAGGCTTAAAGTGTTCAGAATACGCCATTACCAAAGATCTTGAATCCTTAAAGCTAAATTCTTGTCTTACAACAGTTGACCACACCCCGACATCGCCCCGGGGGTGGGGGGGGGGGGAAGAATATAATTACAACATCATATACTGTGAGTTCATTGTGGAACATTATCAAAGACTACATAGTTGATAGCTTTAAGTATCCTATCCCTGCTGTTATTAATGGGGGCAAATGATAGTAGATATGTATGAGAATTATCACAACAGGTGATAGAAACCAAGCTACATAAACTAAGGGTACTTGAGGGGGGATTTTGTTATCACCATTTTAGGTGTAAAGAAAGCAGAAGAAATAATGGTCCATGTTGGAACAGTGAGTTTGACAGGGAAGCACAGACAGTTAGTTAAGGTATGTAGATACATCATTGCTGTGGATGAAGTCGCAAATTCTACGGTCGACATGACGATACCATTAACAATAATAAGCGTAATAAATCTGTGACTACTACTATACTATCATTGCTCCAGATTTGTCATGCTTCGACATTTTCAGTTGCTGGAATTGTTTTGCATGTGTTGATTTTTATTCTATGGTCGACATCACGATATCATTAACAGCGTAGTAAATCTATGGATATCATTATTTACTCACAGGTTGATTCGCTTTCTGATTTTCATATCAACTACGATCTACTTATTGAACATATTGAAAATTCAAATAAAGTTACCTTCCTTAAGCTGGGAATGGCCTACTTTAAAATCAAACATAAAGTAAAAGTTGCCTCCCTTGAACTAAACCATGTAAAGAATAATTTACAAAGTAACATCTTAATTTTGTGTTTTGTGCCCCAAATAAGGCTGCAAATGATAAAGAAAATATTTAGACACGTTTCTCTCTTTCTGTCTACCTAGCTCTGCGGTAATTAGGATCCGAGGAACCTAAGTCATTCGTCCATTCTTTCTGTTCCTCATCAAGTGTGTTGTGTCACTTTTTTTGTTTAGGTCAAACGAATAATCAAACACGAGGATTATTTCAACCATGGTTCATTCGACAGCGACATCGCATTGATACAACTACATGATAAGTTGACAATATCAACAACCATAAGACCAGTGTGTTTACCTGACCCTTTAGATAGTGAAGATTATGTTATAAACGATACGAACCTGGACCACATGGTTCCTATGATTCGGAACCTGACCGGAGTAGAGGGCGTAGTTATTGGCTGGGGTTTGACGGAGAACGGTTCATCCCCAGATATATTGAAGATGACCAATGTGAAAATCGCTGACCAGAACGAATGCATTGAATTTTATGAAAGTAAGAGGTTTTTTCTTGGACGCTCCCCCTTGTTGCCCTAATGATACACACATGTGGAGGAAGATGGACGGCGATGGATCTGCTCGTTTATTAAACATAAACCCTATAAACAAAAACAAAATTTTATCTAGACTAGAACGTAACTTGTCGACGACAATTAACATGAATATTATTTTCTTTTTCGTTTTACCCAATGCACTTTAATGCGCAATTCTTTTGAGTCGATCAGTTTAATGGGATTTACTCCCACTTTTTGTTATATCTGTATTTCTAAGCTCTGGTAAGTTCACGACAAGCATCTAAAGAAATTCCTATGTAAGTCGATCCCAATATTTTCAATACTGTATTATTAGGATCCAGTACTAATATGATGAACATCACCGATAAGATGTTGTGTGCAGTGGGGTCGAATCCAACCAAAGCGGATGCCTGCTCTGGTGATTCCGGAGGTCCACTTCTAGTAGAGGGTAAGACTATATTACAGCTTAGATATTTTCAATCACTATATCGATAGCATTAGCAGTGGTCAGTTTTCGACCGGGGTGGTCAACTAAGTATTGTTGCGAGTTTAACTTCTGTTAGGGACAACGGTCGAAAAAAATTGGTTCCGGCTGAAGGAAGATAGAGTTTTAAGGGTAGATAATTTCGAACTTTGATAACGTGCTGTCTTAGTCGGCGATTTTTGTCGCCGGTTAATGTCTTGGGTAAAAATCTCGCGTGTGCCCGTGTTTCCACGACAAGATTATCTACTCCCCGACAAGATTTATAATGTCAAACAACTTCTGAAAGACAGACCACCATCATCCAATCAGATTCATTTTCCTTTCAAGTGCATGCTCCGCACGTGATTATCGACATGGTGGAAAACGTCAAGACTTTAGTCGGCTAAAAAAGTTTCGGACCAAGACCATTCGTGTAACCGCACCTTAAGGTTTATTCTGGTATTTTTGAGTCTATTTACAGGACGAGTAAGTGCGTGTTTAATTTTCTATTAATTCTATATTTCAGATGATTCGGGTAGATGGACTGTTGTTGGTATTGTTAGTTTCGGTCTCTTTAATTGTTCCATGTCGGTCGAAGAGCGGTATGGATTTTATACTCGGGTGGAAAAATTTCTACCATGGATTCATCATCATCTTTGAAAGCATATTAACATCCAAGATAGAAAAGGTATATAGACGGGCATTTTTTTCTAGCTGCCTCTTTCGGTATTTATTGTAATTTTGTATATAATATATGTCGCGCTTAATTCATTTGTAATACACAGAAAGTCGAATAAATCAGAGTTTTTAAAACCGAGAGGGAAATCAATTTTTTGATATTATTCTCATGATGGTTACAACCGTACCATTTTCACAATGTCAAACTATTACGAACTTCGTATTATATCATATACCTGCTATAGCCGCTATTCTTGTATCACGAAATGGAGTCATTTTTCTATTGTACTTTAGCGAATACAGCCAATCAATTCCCTCGATAGAAAGACATCATGGATAATTGTTACAGACTTCTGTCGGCATAAAGCCTATCAAATCGCTGATTTACACGGAAAGGTGATTATTGCAGTCTTGCAATTAAGACGAAATTCGTAAAAGTTTGACATTGTAAAGATGCAACCGAACACGCTTCGAGCTGTTATGGATATGTGCGGTCATGTATCCGGTATAACATCAGTATAACTAAAGACTTGAAACTAATTTCTAAATTTTTATTCGTAATTGGTAGCACCTTGGGATGACAATTTACATTAATAGATAACGATAACCATAACACATATATTGATGACGTAAATATACAAAGATGATGACGTTATACACATGATACGATGACGTTCTACACAAAAAATGATGACAAGATTTATACATTGATGGATGTACAGATGAAAATGAAATGATTTTAAATTACAAATGACCAGATGTAAATCTTTGGTATAGTGGAGGACGGGATAATATGTAGCGTATAGAAATGTTCCTTGGTGAATTGGTCAGTTTGCATTGTGAGGTATTTACATCGAACTTTGACCTGGCACCAGATCCTCTGACATATGGACATACACAAATAACATGAATGGTGGATAACAAATAATAATGAGAAATAACAATAACAATAGATAAGAAAAACTAAGAGCACTACGAAAATAAATAAACTTTTTGATTAATATCACTCAAGAAAGTGTCACTATCACTTTTGGTCACATGACCATAACCCGGAGGTTTGATTGGTGGATTAACTTAGTGACTAACTCTAGCACTTGTCACTTAGGCATCCTTGGTGTCACTTAATTAACGAGTCATTTCTCATCACTAATTAAGATTTGTCACTAATTAGATATTGTCACTTATTAGTACTTATGTCACAAATGAGTCCTCTCTCTTGATTTACTTGTGATGTCATTGTGAATATATAATTTGAACACAATTCGACATCGAACGTTATTCAGAACACCCATGTTCACTAAACACTATTCACTTTCTGTTCACTTCACATCTATTATTTTTTCAGACTTTTCATTTTCAATTTAACTATTTATTTCATTGATGTTTTAGCTGTAAAAGAAAAAAGGAAATAATTATTAAAAACATTCGGAAGTAGAGCAGAAAATTGTAATTCGACATTTCAGACCATCCTTTGGTAATTGGTTGAAGCGATTGAAAAAGAAAATTGAAAAGTAAAATGGCAAAGAAGCAGTCAAATCAATCGAGAAGATAAAAAGAGGTTAATGGGTTAAATGTAAACACTTACCAATGCTTGCAACAAGGATCGTTACTGTGTTTAGGATCTTTACATTTCTCTGGACAGGTCAAGGAACATTTCATGGATCCTTTGCGGCAGGTACAGGTGGCACAGCTACTTAATGAGGAGGTTTTGGGCTGGAATGTTTCACCATCATCGTATTTCTTACCACCGAATATACAAGCTGAAATATAGAGAGAACAATTCATTAGTTATTTGGTACAGAATATCAAAGAGGACCATGAAAGAAAGCATTAACGAGTCAGCAAAAGACCAAGAGAAGTGTCAAGGAAGACCAAGATGCAGTTTTAGAACAGAAGATTTAAAATTTGATACAGAAACGGCCAGCAGGCTTTGAAGAGCAAAAGCCGAACGTATTTTTTTGTCGGCGGAGTTTTCATAAAGAACACTTACAGTCACTTTTCTTTTCTTCGACTATTTCTTCGCCATCAGAATCAGCACAAGTATCACAACAGGCGCCATCTTCACGGATTTTTCTACTGCAAGAGAGTTTAGGACATTTTGGTCGGCTACAAGATGGAGTACCATTCTGAAAAAAGAACAACATAGTTATTAATTTGTTATAAGATTGCTCTTTTTGAATTTCAATTAATTTTATTAGAATGTAACTTGTATTAATATTGGTTGTAAAGTATTGTATGTTTATAAATAAATTTCTTGTAATTCTTGTATTCAAAAAGAAACAGTAGATGGTAGTACTTACGTTACAAGAGCAGTCAATACACTTCATATAACCAAAAGGAATGACTCGTGGATGCCATTTGGCACCATTGGCATAGATCTGGTCTTTGAATGAGCATGCACCTTTCATATCAACATCTTGGAGGGGTTTCACAACTTCTGGTTTTACTTCCTCGGCTATAAAAAGACATAAAATGGTTAAGGTTTTGGAACTTTAGAAAATTCATCCATTATAAGAAAGAAACCAATGCATTAGGTTTTAAGGACTGGTCATTTTTTATTTTAATTTCTGTATTGATATTTGATATAAAAAATGAGAACTTACGTGCACAAACTTGACAACAGTCCTTTGGGTTCAATCGAATTCTTCTGGAAGCTGGACAATCGAGTTTGGGACATTTTCGTTCACATTTATAGATACCACCGGGCTGGAAGAGAGAGACAAAATTATTAAAATCATGTTGTGGATATGCTTCAGTAAATGCTATAGAATATTGATTCAAGTATGGCGTTCAATAAAAAAAAAACAGATTGATGATTTGAGTAAGGTGTTTGATGTAGTATAGATAGATTACTTACCAAGCAAGTACAGATGACACATTTAGCATAACCCATTAAAGGAAGGAATGGATGCCAGGTGGAACCAACTGGATGACTTCGCAGATCACCATCAATTTTACACTCGGTTTGATCAGTTGTTTCAATGGGACAGGTTGGACAACATTCACCATCGAGTACAATTGGATTGGCGCATTCGACAACTGGGCAGATCAGACGGTGGCATTCGATTTTTCCTTTCTGAAAATAGAAATGAAGAATTAATTATTAACACTGCACCACAAAAGTATACCATTTAGTTTGACCATATGAGGAAAATACACGAGACAAAATACTTAATTATATATTAACCATCAAATGACCAAATAAGGAAATGGCATGTACTTACGTTACAACTGCAAGTGTTACAAGTAGCATTAACATCGGGTAACCAACTATCACCGTTTTCATAGACCTTGCCTTCATAAACACACTTATATCTATTGGCAGCTAATACTTCTTCTGAGGTCTGTTCATCCACCAAGATATCCATATCGTAGTCTTGACTGTATTGCCAGCAAGTATTGGGTACACTCACCTGAAAAATGACAATAAATGATGTTAAAATGATGGTCAGAAATGTAAAGACCAAAATGCTTAATTATTATTGATACTGGAGCCTTAATTCAGAGATGCAGGTATGCAGAATAATTGATAATTGGCGACTTACGTTTCCAGATAAGATGACATCCCCAGAGATGACTTGAATCAAAGCAGAACCTTCATCAAGGTCTCGGAAGAGGGACTCGGGAACAACAGCAATGCTACCAGAGGCTTGTTGGAATTCATACAAGTTGGTTGTGGAGATCTTCTCGATGGTGACATAAGCATCGATATCAGTTGGGCTGACGAGGCTCAGGGTAAGATCGTGATGTTTGGCGATGGTGGTTGTGGTGATGTCGTAATGAAGAGAACAGCCAACACCCATTGAGATCCAAGCATTACCAGCATGACCATTGGAAGTTATTGTTTTGGGACCAAGAGCAGCAGGATCAGCTGAAAAGAGAAAGGAGAATTGTGATATTGAAGCATTTCTATGGATGGATCACAAGGATCGAGCTTTAATGAGTCTGCTTTTTTTTTATTTCGAAGTGAAAGGAATGTATTTGTACTTACCAGAAACCTGTTCGAAGTGGGAATGGTAAGGAAGGGCAATAACTCGACCTCTCAATTCACTAATTCTGTTTTCACTGGTGGCTACGTTGACGAAGATCTTGTTGTTAAGGAAAAGGTGAAGGTCATCAGCGGTCATTTTCTTGAAGGTACCATTACACTGAAATTACAAGACAATAAAATAAATTCAATTTCTAAGCACACAGTATGCAATTAGGAAAACATGGAAAGCGAAGTAAACAGTAAATGGATCCATGATGAAAATTATGAACTGAGCTGGAATTCTGAAAATGAAGCGGACGACTTACCCAGCCATTGAAGGAATTTTCATCAGCTTTGAAGTTTCTGTGAACGCTTCCAATAATCTGTCGTCTGTTTTTCTTGTTGACGGCGCCCTCTAGTCGGATACGATGAACTTTACTGGTAAGGCCGGTAACTCTGATCTTGTAGTCAAGGGAACCCTTTTCTCTCAATTCAAAGACGGCGGTACCGGAAGAGGCGAGTTTCATTTCTTCGAGGGAATTACCAGATGACATGACAGCTTGAGAAACTAAAATAGAAATGAGATTGTAAAAATATAAAGCTTGAACATGGAGTGTTACGTCCTAATTTTCTCAACCTGCTTTGGTTCAAAATGGAAGCAAATTTTTGCTGATTTCTGTTGCTGATGATTGCAAAGCACAAAAATATTACACTTACCTCCACAAGTTACTTTTGGTTTAATATCACCACTGACTGAGGCACCATTGGTTGAGGTCAGACGAATGGTCAGACGACCACGAGCTAGCTGTTTAGATTGACGTTTGTTTTTCAATGTCCAGGAACCGCGAATAAATCTTGTCTGAAATGATGAAAGATTGAAATGAGATTCTGTTGAAACAAAAATTAATAATGTTTATAACGAGGGGATGGTATGTTTATTTGTTGTCTGGGAATTAAGAATGAGAAATGCCACCGGGTTATTAATGAAATGGAAAGGAGTTTTACGTCTATCTTTTTATTGTATTAATGAGCTTTTGAATGAATGACCAATATCGCCAAAGTAGTGTGCAATGCGGGAAAATGATTCTGATCTTTTACCTTAGAACTGGCTTTGCCTTTAGATTGATGTAAAACTTTACTTTTCTTGGAGATGGTGATAAAATATTCTTCGGAAGAACCTTAAATTATAAAAAAAAATTAATTGAAATTCCTTGGATAGATGATTCTTCAAATTCAATAAATGAAGGCATTATGCGAAGAAATAGTTCAGATAAGAAAGAATTCTGAATTATTTTGATAAGAACAACAAATCGAATACATACCTGGAAAAACTCCATCAAGATTAATGACGTAATCAACAAGGTGTGTTCGAGGATTGTAGACGACAGATAATAAACCGCCAATACCATTTGCTTTGGGTGATGCAAGAACAGAGCTGAAAACCTCTACAAGAAAAGAAAAATAAATGTTAGTTTTTCACGCTGTTGTGAGAAAGAGTTAACACGAAGCTACAATGTCTTTCTTGAAATAACTAATTTTAACCACGACTTAGCAGTAACGTAACAATCAGTTGCCATGTTGACAAAGATGGCGGCGGCTTTTGTAAGGAGTTGTACGGTCAACCAGTGTTAAGTGTCTGAATTGAATACAATACTGTAATTGGTAAGACATCACGTTAGAAGATTTATTGAAGAATGTCGTCTATTTACACCTTCACAGTTTCACGAGACATCCCAAGTCAGTGATGTATTCAACAGATATTCAATCCAGTAGACGACCGCCATTGATGTCTGATTGTAGTCTGATTGTAGCCGTATTACGTGTCTCCCCGACACCCGAGTTCACTACACATGGGATTAGTTTTACTCCAGTCGTAAAAATCAACAACAAGTAATTTGTTCAGGTAACAAAACGTTACCGAGTTTGACTTTTGATGGAAACTTGATACAAAAATAATTTTTATTAGTGCAGACGACACGACTTCATACCCTTCCCCTTGCCCGCCCTTTCTCCAGCAGACGATAAACATGTCAAATTCGCGCCTCGATTATTTAAGTAAATGAAAAAGGAGAAGACAAATTTGACACGGAATCGAAATACGAAACGAATTAATTCGCGGCTACTCATAAAAATGTTTGAATCAACAAATACTAAATTAGCGACAAAACTTGAAAATTACAAAATAAATTTAGAGGTACGTGTGAAAAAGTTTGGAAGGTGAGATAAATCAAGAGATAGGTGTAATATATGTTTGTTCAACTTAAATACAATAGTATATTTACACCGTAGAAGGTTATTATCCAATCAAAACGTGGCTTTCAGGAAGGTTACAATAGAAAGTAATCAGAGCTTTTAAATTTAATTTTCCCCGAGATTAACTGCATTAAAAGAACAAATATTATCCAGATGCGTTGTGGGTAGTTTTTGTTACTTCCCGAAATGAGATGTTGATGACGTACCTCGTTTAGCATGACGATTTACCATAATTCTACCGGAAACCAGCCCCCGGAAGTGACGTGAAGCAGTGATGACGGCGAACAGACGTTCTTCACGGACATACTGGATATAAGCGGAAGGAACCTTGGTCCAGATACCACAGAATTTCTTGTCGCCGTTTCGCTTCTTCTCGATGGGTCGCTCAAATAAGACATTACCATTGGCATCGGTAATTTGCAAGAATTTAGGACGATCGAGTCTGTAAGAGAAAAAGAAATATTGTTACATGACATCTAAATAAGATACTGATCAAACTGGCGCCACAATAATAACCAATAGAATGTTTCAATGCATAATCTCGTTTGATGTTTCTAAAATTGGCATAAATTAAGAGAGAGACTTACTTGAAGTATCGGACCGAGTATCTGATTTCATCGCGACCAACGATAGAGAAATATACAGCAGCTACGGCGGAAGTCTTGACGCTCTCACGTCGGACGTTCTTGCCTACCAATAGGGACACAAACTCGTTTCTGACTCGACGTTTACTATCAGAACTGATCATGGTAGGGGCGGACGATTTGGAACCAAGGCTGAAGCTATCTTCAAAACTGTTGACTGAAAGAATAAAGGGGAATGTTTAAATGTTAATGAAGAGATATGGTTCCTGATAATTAAATTGGCACCCCCACAATAGAACCAAGACATTTAAACAACACGTGAATGATCGAACTCTGGAAGTTAATTAACGAGAGTGAAACGCGTGTCGGTTGTTTAAAGGCAAGATTTTTCATGTCATAAACATACACAATTTTTATTTATACACAACCTGTTCATTCTATTGCTTCGTCTAGCCAAAATGGCGCCAATATAGAGATATATAACGTGATATATACATGAAGGCAATATCGAGCTATGACGTAGTCAGCTGGAACAAAGGTAGGCTTAGGTGGGGTTGGACCTGGCTTTTCTTAAAGAGCTTTAAGGTATTTTATCGCCAAAATATTTAATTTGTAGAATTTTTTATCGCTATAATGGAATGTTATCTGTTGCGTTTGATCAGAGTCTGGATGATTGCGACTGAATGAATGAAAGAAAGATAACTCTTTAATGGTTATTGTAACCCGAACAATGGGCCCCTTTTCCAATCCATTTATTTTTTATCTTTGATGATCAAATTGAATAAGTTAGATAGATGAGGTAAATGGGATAGTTTAAGATAAACAGTTCTAGTACAAGCCTGAATAATTAGCATAAAGCTCTGATTGTGAAGACGAAGACAAGAGGCTGGTAAGGGGAGACACAGTAAATATAGCAGATACTAGCTGAATAATACCCCATTCATTGCCGTGTGATAAGAATGGTGGTAACCCAACTTGAAATGGTGAAGTAGCTTGTTAAACGGTGAAAAGAGTGTAAGGATTCAATCCTAAATTGCTTGAACAATTATCGGACATCAGATACTAGTCTCGAACATCCTAGACTAATGGCTTTTTAATATCACATGCATCATTAAACAAAGTGAGCTGGATACTCGAGACTTTGTCAATAAGACACAACTTCTTACACCTTTCAAGAATTTGTATCGTTTCACACTTTCGTTTCGGTTGTAGAAAAGGGATTTGTCTGAATCAAAATTTGTGCGAGTGGGTGGTCGAATTGATACTTTTTGAAAAGACACCGGACGTGGCTGCGTTCATTTGGCTAATCCGACTATTGTTAAAAGTTAATTGTCGATGAAACGAACCATTTAGCAATAAACTAGATGTCCAAATAAAGGCCGGATATCGAATTAAGCACATTAAAAAGCTTCACACCTGGACAAAACGAAACGAAAATAAAATCACGACTTACCTTCATCGGGGCAAACTTTACAACATTTTCCTTTGGGAAGGACGGGATTGAGACAGTTGGGTCTGGGACACAGATTCTTGATGTTCTTACACAGAGTCTGTCCTTTCATATCGATAATACCTTTACGTTCAACCTGCAAATGATAACAAATATTGAATATTAATAAACACATGAAGTAACTATGCGATTGAGCTGTCAACTATTGTTAAGACCATTTAATACTGTTGGGAACATGTTATACATGCAAATGAACAAGAAAACCTGGTACCATCTTGCGATTGTCATCTCAACTGGATTCAAAGTATAAAAAGTGATTAGGTAAAGATGTGTTAATAGAAATGTAAACCACGACAGTTTAAATCAAACAGACAAATAGTAAAAATGTCTTAACACAGAGCTGTGAAACACCTACAGCCCTATTTTATACCATTCAAACAGTACCAAAATAACATTGTATTAACTGTCCTATACACTAGAGTTTATATAGGGTGGGGGCTGATTTAGGGTATTCCTGCCATTTTGCGATCGCAAGAAACCCAGCCTTTTTTTCTGAGAAATTTGTCGAACTCTTATGCAAAAATGTTTAACAACGCGATGTTTATGAACCACAAATTCATTTCTTATGTCAATAAACGAATGAAATGAAAAATTCTATGAAAAAGCCACAGTATTCATTTAAAGAGTGAGTATAAAAATTCTATATCAAGAATCAAAGTGTGTATCATAGTCTATAGAAAGTGGATTGTGAATTAGAATATGAATAGAGAAAGAGGTATTTGAATGACTGGTGAATACAAACAGTTAGATATGAATATATGGGTTGATTTCAAACACCCTTTTTTCAATTGAAGACACAAATAGCAATACTAACCGGCACACATTCACATTTAACGCAGTACATTTCACCTACTGGTAACAATTCAGGAGTCCATCTCTCACCGATACCGTAAAACTTACTGCCCAATATACAACCTTAAAATATAAAAATACATTATAGCAACATACATCAAGATTTGAAGTTTTTCTTATACTCTTGTGAATATAAATATTTTTATATGATAAAAAGGTGTTAAAGATATTTATATACGTGAGATATATGTATTTTCTTTCTAGGAATATGAACACGTGAAGTTAGTCGTGTAATTGCACCTCAATTGAAATTCATGATCGCATATCGATCAGGCGATCGAACTATTGACAATCCTGACCCGTAAAATAACTTTATACATACCAGGTCTATTGGGTTGAATTCCAAACAAATTTTCTCGAGCTGCCTTGAGTGGAATCTTGCTGAACTTGGTAGAAGACACTGTGGCAGCTAACAGTACCAAACACACAGCTAAATCCATAGGAGACATATTAAAACAGCGTGCTGGGAGATATCCCAGTTGGGGAAATAACCACTAAATGATGAGAACTAATAACTAAATCCAAAAGTATAACCGTAAAACTGATATCACGTGATAACAACTCAGGTAATTTCAAAGCAGGTAAATAATGACAGTAGAAATTAAAGGTATAGTAGTAAGCGAGATGAGTTGATATCAACGAATGATGATCGTCTTAGATTTTTACTCACTATATATACTGGGATCTCACTAATTGAAGCCGGTGGATTAACGGTAATTAATCGGCTAAATACACCAGCGGATTAACGGTATATCGGTCTTCCCTTGTATATGGCTTCATTATATCCGTACAGGTATAAACTACTGGGAATTGATCACACCGTGCTGTTATTCTAATGTATTTTCACTCTGATTAGACGACCAATGGCTTCTATTCTATCCTTTCCTACACTCTACTCTCACCTATTGCGGTCTCTTTGATGTCCTTATACTAACCGTTTCATTGGTCGACTAATGATATGCGACCGATTTTGAATTCTTCGTCTATGTGCGAAGTGCATTAGTATTATGATGTTTGTTATCATATTTTTAAAATTGTATTTCCGTATTTTCTATTTCCTGAATTAAATTTTAATTGTATTTCTTTGCATGCATTGACTACAAAATAAACGTGAGACGTAGAAATTGATTTTATGGAAATCATACGAATTTTATTTCATTCATTTTAGAAATATTTAATTTACAAATACATAAAATTAAATTTCCTGACAATGCTTATGGATATTTTGTACTAATAAATATTTACAAATTTGTGATTATAATTTAGGGAAAGTTAATATTCAATATTTTTAATCTTTTTATTCAATATTTTGTGATTATAACGGTATTTCATATGAATATTTCTAAGAATATTCAATGAAAAATCTAAATATTGTGAAAATATTATGTGAATATTTCTAAGAATATCCAATATTTAAGAAGCAATATCTATATCTTCAGTATTACAAATTGGGTCAAATAAATTTGGTTAAATATTAATGTGTGATTTATTTTTAGATATTATTTCAATGAACCTGAATGAATGGTACCAGTTTCCGTTTACTTTCTCATTATGAATGATGTCAAGATGTAAGTCACCGACGTCTCATTCATATCAATTATGCAGATTTATGCAAATTTATTCATGTTTGTGCTTTACGCTATAGAGCCGAATAGAAGCCTTTGTATACGGTTTTAATATTGCCTCTTAATGTAGTTTTTCTTTTAATATTTCGACTATTTTATGGAAATTATCATAAGAAAAGGGTAGAGAATTTTACATAATTTTCGAGTTAAGAGTCAATTTGAGCTCGATGAAGAATTTTAGTTTGAAAGAGATGAAAACAAGCGTGTAACTTCTGTGTGTTTTGTCGGCCCCATCGTTTAACCTTTCAGTTCCGTATTACTGCACATATAAAATAGAGATATCTTTATAGTCTACATAGCTATTATTGCATTATTATCATAGTATAGCTATTATAGTTTGTGGTTTAGTATCGAAAGCAATGATCGAGGAGCAAAATAATCGGAAGATATAAAGTCTACACTTATTATTTCGTTATTACAATAGTATAGCTATTATAGTTTGTGGTTTATAACAAAAGCAATGGTCAAGGATGTTTAACTTCACAGTTTCGTATTACTACACATCGAAAATAGAGATGTATCTCAATAGTATCACGAAAGCAATGATGGGGTGTATACAATTGAATATTGAATATTGAAATAGATATACATGGCTCCATTATTGTTTTTACATATCGTATTATATATCGTTTGGTAACGAAGGCGTTGGTTTGGGGATGAAAGGTGGAAATCTGATAAGTCTTGCCCAGTTCAATTTTGTTTTTAATGAAAGCATCGGCAGTGGATATAAAAGATTATAATGTTTGCATATTCTGTCGTTTTTCAACGAAAACTGAATCGAAGTCTGAAAGGAATATAAACGTTTTATGTTGTAATATTTAAATTAAAAATTATATCGTCATCTAGAATAGAAACAGTGTCTAAAACCAGACAATTTGCCGGAAAAATTTCCTTTGAATGACTTCGTCTGAATTATAAAGGTGCCGAATGTTCGCCGACAAAAACTCCTTGTTTTCTTTAAAGATTCTGTTAATTAAGGCTACTAATTGTCTTGATGATGGTTTCTAATTAACAACCTGCTTCTGATTACAGGCGGGCCGTTATCAAAACAGTATCGAACTATTCGCCGTATTTTATAGTAATTCAAGGCGGATATTGAAATTTGCTCTCGAAAGCACAATCCTAAGGAAAAAGTAGTGTTTTATTAATGCACTTCTTTTGGAGAATTTTACGAAGGTCCTTTTTAATTTTTGTAGCCTATAATAATCGTATAGTGTGACAAGCGGTTAACAAATTATATATTCTTTCTTTAAAACCGCAAATTGATACAGCTTTTCAATTTTCTTACTGAATTACCTATTTTTCAAAATTTTCAAATCTATTATTAAAACTTTCAAACCTTTTGATTCTATTGATTAATAAAAATATTTTATCAAACAATCATAATAAATCATTAATCTTAATTCCACAAATCTCAATATTTTCCTAATTAATTAGAAATAATTAGTAAATCATTAACAATAATTCTTAATGATTTGATTCCATTTGGCACGTGCTAAGGTGAGATAATTGTAAGTTTATTATAAAGATTTGTGTAGTTGTTATTCACACTCTACGTGTCGTAAATCATAGAATATGTATGTTTCTATCTTGTAATCCTGATAATCTTAGAGCCGCTAATTTCATTAACACTGTATTCAATATTAGAAGAATTAAATCCGGATTGAAAGTATAATAATTCGGATCGAAATTGCTGTAAATTCGGATCGAAATTGCTGTAAATTCGGATCGAAATTGCTGTAAATTCGGATCGAAATTATTGACGAATTTGGAATGGAAACGTTAACCAATGAAGATTGAACAAATAATAATTCGAAACAAATATCTACAAGTTCGAAACGAAATGGATTTAAGTTCAATTCAATCTCTCGCTGTCGACGCATGTTAATGATACATAATCCTCATCAGGATTTATGGGCGATGTAAAAAAACAATAAGACTATTCGGAACCTTCTGATTTCCAAGCTATTTGATTTTAAGGAGTCTGTATGCTATGAGAGCCAACTGAACATGAATCCAGTATATAATCCAGTACACATCCAAGAACGACCAAAATGAATATTTATTGCCAAACAGTTCCTATATTAATGAAATCGAAACGAACATTTTCAACTAACGACAAATACCGGGAGTATGATAACTCACTGAACGATTGAGAAGACGAATTACATCCAAGCATTGAACTATGAATATAGATATAGATTCCTATATCAATGAGACTAAAACTTCCAGCTTAAACTATCAATACAATAATCATTAGAACGTGTCCTATCTATATTGACAATACAGTAGACTTTACCAAACACCTCGTAAATCCCGGGGTTGTGACTTATCTTCAGTCCAGGACCCAAAATCAATATCCAATTCAATTCATCATGGTGACGCCAAGTGAAGATTATAGTCAAATTGTCAACTTTTAGATCTGTTTATTGATTTAAAGATCATTTCAACAATATTTCATATCATGATTAAATTCTAACTTAGTTCATTACATAATTTATACACAGCCATGTTGTCAAGATGACTGACGAGGGTGTTTGACTTCTGATAACCCAGAGCATCAACTAACAGAATTTCCAAGTTAGTATGACATCTAGCTAATGTCATCTTGGGCTGATAGAAATCTGTTATAAATAACGACTCAATTTTATTGTATTTCTGATTGCATCTGAATTACAACCAAATTTTGTGAAGTTAACTTGCGCCCGTGGGATTCTGTTTCGGTATTGGCAGGATCTATATGATCCGCAAACCTTATTTGACTACTTGCTGAATTGAAAGCCTGTCGGGATTCATGCTAAACTCCAAGCTTCATAGAACTATCACATCTTTCATTTAGGTTACTGTTGAAAATGGTTTGAAAGGAATTGCGTTGAAAGGCTTTGAAATGGTCCGGAAGTTTTTCAGCAGCGGCTGTAAATATTCACCTAGTATTATGTGAATTTTGAACGGTGGATGACTTCACTAATTCTTTAACAAGGTGGATTGCCCATCAAGGTTTTAAATCTCGGATGTCATTCATCTTTCTTCTTGATTCTCAAGATGATAATTAGCCCGGATAATCGCGTCTAGAGAGCGATTTCACGCTCTATCTACCAGACAAGTGTTTTGGATATACATCCTTGAATGGCAGTAATTCAAGTGGTTACGATTGGCGGGAAATTGGTGAGAAAGCAGACGTTAACAATTGCACACTTTTTAATAAGTTGGTTGGATACAACTCGAAATATCTTTAGTACCTTGCTAATTGTCGGCCCATTGTTTGCAGCGTCCTCTTGACCCGAGTCAAACACGTGCTTTTCACCTTTCTAGACAAACTGGAGCCGACGATACTTCAGCCTACTCTAAAACAAGCAGAAGAGCAGATTTGTCAAATATTATTGTCAACGAGCTTTCTAAGCGACGTGAATAAAAGAGACAAATAAGTCTCGATCTGTTGTGCAGGGATTAACCGGCGTGTAGCTTGTAGAGGAGACAGGAGGGAGATTCAAGTCGAGGTCTATTGATGCAGTGAATTCCCACAGTTGACATTTCTAATCGTTACAAATAAATTCTGTCAACAAGAAATAATTCTTCCCGTGGCCTTCAAACATTGAGTGAATTCAGGGCGTTAATGAAATATGCTGGGCGTTTAATCTTGACACCCCGACAGTGGTCGAGCAGACTTCTTGGCTACGATTTACAATTTCAAATAAATACCGACGGTGTCCGGTGGTGGCAGAAACACGATCCGTATTTGTCGCAACTTCTTTCAAATTTTATCGAGTTGAGTTTTAGCTGCTGAGATATACCTTCGTTTTTTCAACCCAGTTTCTCCCTGTCAGTGATGCAGGTAGTTGGTTTGGAAAAGTGACGAGCTATAGTTTGATTGGAAAATAAATCAATGCTCCACGTGCTAAGGCTCTGCATGTTGGAAATCTGAAATGAATACGTTAGTGTCACTGAGGTGACACAATTTCCCTCATTGCACACTCCTAATGTTGTCTGGTTTCATTGACCAAGCCAGGTGCAGAAAATGTTTCCACATGATTGTCCTATTACTCTAGAAGCGATTGATGAAGAACCCATCGAAATCGGAGCAATGAAATGAAATGAATGGAGTTTTACGTCCTACTTTTCTGTATATTATGTGCCAACGAAGACGGGCAACGCCATATAGTGTGCAGCGATGGACATTTTGTCAGCCATTAGCCTAATCTTTTTCGATTTTCAACTGTCAAGGGATCCTTAACGTACATAGCCTGTAGCACACGGGACAACCAATTTATTATGTCATCCGAAAGACTAGACGCTTTTCCATGTCATGCTCTCTGATCTGCATGAATCAGACCGATGAAGAAGTTTTTGTTTACATGGTTTGATAAAACACCAACTTTTCTTTTAATGTTTTGTTTGAAGTAAGATGTATATTGTTATAATATCGTAACTACAATCTCTATGGTCCTTTGAACCTTGTTCTTGTCTGATTGGCAGAAAACCTCGATAAGCTTATACTGTCTTCTCAAAAAGTATCGCGACATAGGGTACATTTCAAGCTAACATAGCAACATATAGACAACATTGTTTTATACCCTGGCGTTGTTCCCATAAGATACCCATAAGTATTTCATGCTATCTGAAACCGCTTCGACCTGCATTGACCACGGACATTGGTCTTTGTTTTAGATGCTCCGAGAGGAACACCAGGTATCCGCGAAGTACTTATTGGTACCCCCGGAAGGTACTTGTACCTAGAGGTTAGAAGGGTCTATTGCGGAAATCGAGAGTGGTAGGGATATCCCGTCCACCATCAATATTAATAATCTACGTCCTCTATGACTCGCGACATTCGACAAAAAAAAGTTGTTATATTTTCAATGACGCTAGTGTCCGTGGTTAAATGTCTTCGGCATGTGATATTTGCGATGGAAATCACTGCGTTCTATCCAAAGACCGCTAAAATTTAATGATTAACCAACGCAGACCAGGTCCATTTAGTTCGTTGTAGTCTATAGTATACAATATTTGCAAGAGTTATCTCCCGTGAATAATCTGCGCATGCTTATGGAAGCTAACAACGAATGTAAACAACATGGCCGACAAAATCCACTTCACTTCAGTTTAGAAACAAATAAACGTTAATTCTCTCAGCAAACGACACAAAATGACTCTAAATCCGTTGTCAAATCCGAAAGGAGTAAAGCTTCTCTGTGAATTGTGCCAGAAACCAGCGTTTGTTCAGTGCACAATATGTCGAGTTACATATTATTGGTGAGATTTTGTTTATTTTATTTTACATTTTCACTTTCCCTTTGCATTTGCTTGGTTTTGACAATACTTTTGACAATAAATATGTACTAGATGTAGTCTGAATTTAACAATGCTCCATCTAGCTTGTACCATGTTGTTGTTTTTCTGTCGAAATCACTTTTGAAAAGATCCCAAGACTGAATATCTTATAAAATTGTATTTCTAGTGGTGTGGAGCATCAAAAAGCAGATTGGTTGGGAATTCATGAGAAGATTTGTGATAATCTAGCATTATTACGTCAACCTGCACCTTTCCTACCATCAGAAGGAGAGAGAGAAAAAAGAGAAGCTGTCTTACTGGATAAAAAGGTAATAAGATAAATATAGGATAAATATAGGCTGAACATTAGGCCTATATCTGGCTCATTTGCTACAGTAGACTTTACTTTAAGATTGTTGTCTTTTAAGTGATTAGATGCATCAAGGTAGTCTATTTTGTATCCCATTTTATTTTTGTATTTGCAGCGTCAGATGATAGATCTTACTAGAACAACTGGTCAGAAATTATTATTTGAAGGTAAACATGAACAAGCTGTACCAGCGGCCATGCAGTCTTTAAGATTTGCTATAGATGTCTATGGTCTATCCAGTATTGAACTAGTACCTTCATATTTGATATTAGGAGAAGCCAGTATAGGTAAGATGTTTAAATGTTATTGAATAGGCATTATTAGCTCTGTGGATTCTCTAAAAGGTATGCAGAATAAACAAAATACTATGTTAACTCTCTGGGTATGGATAATTGGTGAAACAATCATTGTAAAAAGGTTTGGCCAAGAACCAGCCAGTAGAAAGGATTCTCATTATCCCTGTAATAAATAATGTTTTCTTTCTGTAGAATGGATGCATATAAACCATACCATCTTTCATTATGTGGACTCCCTTACAGAAATACTATGATTAGATAATATCTAGACACTTTCAAACTTTTGATTTTTACATTGTATTTTGATGGATTTTTATTCTATTTTTGTGTTTTCGCTTGACTAATCAATTTCTTCTATTTAATTTCCTTCATATTTTTTACTTCAGGTTTAGGTCGATTGTCACAAGCTGAAGAATATTTAGCTCAGGGTCAATGGACAGTGTTAAAAACACCAGAATGTTCAAACGCTATAAAATCAAAACTGTATCGCAACCTTGGTTTACTTCATGCTGCTAAAGGAGAATATGACGAGGCCCTGAGAAACTTGGCAGATGATGTGAGTTGAATGATATCTTTTCTCTAAGGTGGTGCTGGTTTTGTTCATTCTGAACGGTTAATGTCTGTTTCAACTCAATCTGGTTGTATAGTTACAATTACTATTTATTCTACCCCAAATTAAAATGGACTTGGTTTTCAAAGAATTTGATTTCTGTGCTCATTAAATTTTGATTATATTGTAGATCTACCATGCGTCAGTAGAATTTGGAACTGATGATATCAGAACTTCTGGAGGATATTTTCACATGGCCAATGTATTTTTTAGACAGGGCAAGATGGAAATAGCTGATTCTCTCTACAGACAGGTATACTGGCTAATTTCTCTTCATACACAGTAGTTCCTTCACATTCCAAAACCAGCTATCCTGATGAGGATAGTATACCAGAAACATGCTGTAGCTGCATGGTATGATCTCTAGTTTTTTTTTTATTGAAAATAATTTCCATTTTTCAGCATAATTTAAATTTGAAATTTATTTCTGAATATTGAATTGCAGGTAACAGATATATGGTATAACCATCTAGATAGTATTGTAAAATGTAGAACCAAGACACCTGAAACACCAAAAGGGGTGGGACCGGGTGCTGTCGAGGTCCTGGTGGATGAGGAGGAAAAATTAGGTAGGGTCAGCTGACTTGTACATTTTAACAAACTAAAAGTAAACTTAAAGAATTATAATATATTTATTGAATTGGTTATAGATGTTTTATAAAATGTTTTGTTTTCTAGATGAAGCACAAGAAGCAGAAGCCGTCCAAGTATTAAATTCTATTTATGATATCAGAGAACATCAACCTAACCGTAAAGCACCGGACCTGGCGTTAATCTGTCATGCTCTAGCTATGTTATATTTTATTTTCCATCAAGTTAAAAAGGTAAGGCTAAAAAGTTTTTAATTTCTTTTGATTTCGGGAGAAAAACCATAAAAAATCAAAAGAAATTTATACTGTTTTGTCCAAGATTAAACACTTTCAACTTTTCTTATTTATAGATTCAAACATTCTTGCAATCTTGCAACGTTCAGAACTTTTTCAGGATTTCATTATTTATCTTCTTCCAGGCAAAAGAGTTTGGAAGAAAAGCCGTAGTAACCAGTGATTCCAACCCAGATGAAAATTTTTCCCGTAAAATTGTAGAATTTATGAAAATCTGTGATAACGTCAAGTAACTGTATTTCTCTGTGTTTTTTACTGTATTTATAAATATTTAAACTAAACCCTTTGGTTCTTTACAGAACTTAAAATTATTTTCACAATTATTTGACAAGATTGTCTTAAACTGATGAAGCATGTGTCAGATATAAAGGCCTCAGCAGGACAGCTGGTTTAGAAATGAGAGATAATTTAAAGGGATTGTTAAGAGACCCTTCAAACATCAAATATTTAGTTTAAGTGGAATTATAGGAATCACAGACGTTGGAATGGTACAAATTGATGCTTTTAGTGTCTTAGATACAATTTTTATTTTTTTTTAGAAAACCTCTTCACAATCCCTTTAACAAATAAATAAACAATTAAAATAGACAAGGTATAATATAAAATGATTTTAATGATGGAAGGTGACTAGATGTAATAAATAATAAATTATAATGATAACTATTAGATCTATTATAATAATATAATATAGTAAAAATCATATCAAAACAATCCCACTTCTATATCTTTCAAACAACATAGAAACGATCAACAATTTCTACAGTTGTGTACAAAACAGAACATTTCTAAACATAAACAATCAACCTTATTTCATCAATGAAAATGGCATTTTTCTCACAAACTTAATTACGATAAAATCCAGGTTCTACGAAATACAATAATCTGATTGGATAATAAAACTTAATTTAAAATCAATTTAAGTGATTGATCAATCAGACAGATGACTGGAAAACTGAATTTTATTTCAAGTTAAGTTCTGGAGAATAAGACATTTTCTCCTAAACCATTTCCACCATTAAGTAAATGATTTCAATGATCTTTAAATCTATGGAATTTTCCTTATAAAATATATTCCCAATGAAGTTCATTGTTTATGCCTATGTAAAGAAAATGCATGGATGTATTAATCAGTTTGGTACTGTCAAAATATATATTAAAACTGTATATTAACATTTTCTCTAGGACGGACAATTACATTCTAATCACAAACAAACAACAGGCATGGATTTTAGTCATGGAACAACAGAACGGAATAGGAGATCTTATATCATAAAATGTAAATGACAAACTCGGAACAGCTCATGTCCTGACCAATATCTGACTCTAATTTGGGCTAGTACAGTCATTTAGGAACAGATGTCAACCAGCAAGTGTCAGAAATACTATTCATTCGAGCATGAACGAGGGAAAAAGACACATTCAATATTTCTGAGAGATACATGAGTAAAATAGACATTAACTTTGGTAGTGCAATAGGAATTCATTGGATGATGGGAATAATAATAATAGGTTTGAATAAATTTGCATAAATTAACATAAATTAAATTTATCAACCATAATCTGACATTCAAATAATATTGTGAGAATTCTTTATGCATCTTTCAATCTTGAACCATATCAAATTGCACCAATCATAAATTGAAATAAATAAATGTGTGAATAAATTTGCATGAAATTAGCAAGATTTATGCTAATCATTATCATCACTATCACTTGTTCGGTTAGTCCTAACAAATAAACACTTTAAAGCACTGTACGCTCGTGAGCAATAGTCTTTTTGACCAGTGACCTCTTCATTACACTGGCTGGTCTCCCCTGTTGCCATGGTAACACTGTTGTCAGAAGGTTTGGATTGAGTTTTGGAGGGGTTTGGTCCTTGTTTTGGATTTTTAACAGGAAGGGAACCGAGGCTTGAAGCTAACCAATCTAAAGCGGAATGAAGTCCATCTCCTTTAACCCCACTTACTGAAATAATATCTGAAAAACATATATGAGTTAGGGTTAAACTTGTTTCAAAGAATAAGACATGAAGAATGTCTAGTCGCTTCTGATTGGACAATAAACTTTTCCTTGTGTGCTACAGACGGTGTGCTACAGACGTTGAAGATCACTCTACAGTTGGAAATCGAAAATAGAGTAGGCTTATGCTGCTGTCCTGGCAAAATTTGCTTTGCTCTTCTTCATTAGCCCAATTAAGTGCAGAGACCCCATTACTCACTGCAAAGGGATAGATTAGAATAATTCTCTAAAAACCAAGAGACTGTTGGAGATTACTCTACTCTACAATCGATTTTAGTTGATTGTCCAATCAAATGATTGGAACTGAATCACTATAATCATCTTAAATTATTAGGAAATTCGTGAACATGGCCAGGAGGCAACAGACATTTGGAGAATTCAAATTGTCTACTTACTCCATTTATGTTTGAGATTTTTTAATCCTAATTTGTCTACGATCTCCTCAGTCGTCATATTATTTTCTAGATCATTTTTATTGGCAAGAAATAGAAAGATAGACTCCTTCAATTCCTCAGCAGCCACGGCAGGTTTGATGACATCATAGTTTAATTCATCCAATCGTTCTCTATCGTGGCTGTCGATTACGAATACCACTGCGTCTGATCCTTTATAATAATGACGGAACAGTGGACGCTAAAATGAATAAATTATTCAAATTAATGTTAAAGGGATGTCATTATTTAGTTAATTTGGAAATAATCTGGGTATGTTCACCCTTCAAAAACATCTGATAGCAATTTGCAACTTGGTTTGTTCATTTTGCAGCTCTTGGAGAAATCAAAAAGGTTTTTGAGACCCTCTTGTTGCTCTCCTGATTGAGCTAGTGTCTAGTGAAGTGTGTGATGAAGAAAATTCATTGATCTAACAGAGAATCTGATGTCTTCAAATGTTTTTTTCATTTAATTTAACCTCCATGAACTCTGATCAATTTTTATCAAGTTGTAACTTGTAATTTGGGTTTGATAATTGTCTTTCAGAGAGTTCACATAGCTAATAATGTTTAAGTTGTATTTAGGTCATCCTTTTCACAGAGTTCACATATTTTAATGATAAATTTAATAATTTAAGGAAACAACGAAAATAATCTAAATTACTCACAATTTTATCTCGACTGCCAATATCCCAGGCTGTAAAATTGAAATCTTTAAATTGAATAGTTTCGACATTAAAACCTATAGTAGGTATAGTTGTTACTAACTCATCTAGTTTCAGTTTATATAGTATTGTTGTTTTACCTGCAGAATCTAGGCCTTAAATAGATAAAATACATTTTGTTATGGTGCCATTGAAGAAAAAATGGCGGGATATGCCAATTTCCAGGATATATTGATAAGTAATTTAGAGGTAGATTTAACAGTAAATTTCTCAGTCATGTCTGACTGAATCGACTGTATTTACCAGTCATGCCTGACTAAAAAAACAAAAGACCAAGCAAACTCCAATTAGAACATTTAGTGAATGAACCTATTCCATTAACTTTTCATACATTCAAGATAAAAAGGGGTTTAAATCTGAATTTATTTGCTAAAATGACAGCGTAAAGGAAATCCTGTTTGAAATAATAGTAACAGTGTTCTAACAGTTGGCTAGAAGAAAAAGAAAATATATGAAAGTTGACAGATGAAAGAGAAGTTATGTTATTCATTCATCAAACTTTATTATACTTGGCTCATAGTGTATAAATAGTTATACATGGTGCAGGTTTAGTGCATTTACTCTTCACTAATATTGACTTTACTTTAGTCTGAGTTACTGATATTTCTTGTCCTGGTTGAGGATTTGTAAATAGTTGTAGGTACAAGCTTTGTGCATTTACTCTTCACTAATATTGACTTTACTTTAGTCTGAGTTACTGACCTCCCCACCATACCTATTGCCCTCTAATATCTGCTGCAAAGATATGTCAAGATGCTCTGATCATTCTGTAGTCAGGCCATTGGCTAGTCCAGGGCTTCACAGGGGGCCAAACTTTTTTAAGGGGGGCTCAATAATGTGACTTAACAAATTATTCCAGTAATCTAACTTTTTTTAGGGCGATCCCCCTTAGTTTAGGGCCTATTTGTGGCATATTCTTATGGCTAAACTGGCCCCTCCTATTCAGAGAACCTTTGCTATCTAAATATTGAGTCAGAGTTCCTGATTAACTGCAATCTGTTCTGTTTACATGAAAACAGATAATAAAACTGTAATAAATCATAAATTATATCACTATCTAATGTAAACAGAGATATCTTGTTATACTGGCTATATTTTACTTATTACATAATTCATACCTCAATATTACCTTCAAAATATTAAAACAAAACTTAAATCCTGTTACCCAGAGTTTCACGCATTGTGATCTTCTGACAACTGAACTATTTTCAGCCTGCATCCCTATTGAAGTAGAAAATATTACCCCTTAACCCCTTATGGCCCTGAATAATTTCCACCTTCAACAGCAATTCAAGTTTAATACAATTTACACCCTATTTTATTTAAGACTTTGTTTACCTAGATGACTATAAGCATGTTGACCTTCTAACAAACATAATATATCCTTTTTGTTTACCTCCTTCATCAAAAGTAAACCAATGTCTCAAAATAGACGAGCATCCTTACATGTAAAAGGAAGAAAAAACTAAAATTAAACTTCCTCAATTTTTGTATTCAGTCTTTGTCGTATTTGTTTCTTAATTTACGTCTTTTCTTAAACTTTCAAGAACACCTGATACCAGTCTATGACTAGGGTTATCAACTGAGCCAGGACAGGGCAATGCCATTCTGTATGCAATGAGGGAAATTTTGCTATGATTAATAGTAAAGTAAAACTAAAGCAGAAAGACAATATAGGCTTTTTTTGTACATTGATATATAACACTCCATATCATTTTGCTTATTATATTATCTTAAAACTGATACTACGTCTTAGAATGAACATAAAATTTAAGTTGCATTTATGGATAATTACTAAGTCTTTTGGATTTATCAGATTATATAAGGATCCTGTTATGTTATTTATGACACCAGGTATATCTACTGATGAATATAATATGCTCTCATTGGCCAAGTTTAAAATTCTTCAATCTAAAACGTATTATTCCTTTAAGAAGGTCCATACGAGTTTCAAGGAGTCAGGGATGATTACAGAAAGAAAATTATTTCCATGAAAATATAAGAAATGATGGCCCCCATCTGGTCTTAATGAAATAAAAATAAAAAAAGTAGATAGAACTATTAGAAGTAGGGAAGGAAAAGCAATCAGTATAGTACTGATAATTACTGACATATATTTTGATAGTTTGTTTCTCTCTTAGAATTGACTACAGCTGTCATAACATCTACTAGATTGATCTAAAGAGGGGAAAGTCTGGGCAAATGGTGATTTTATTATGTTGGTCAATAATTTGTGGGTTGAATAGCAGGAGAATAGTGAGCAGGAAGAAAAGAAAACTCCATATTTTTCTAATCTCTAAACCCCCAGTGAGTGTTTTAGTACCTGATGATTTTTAATCAACCAAACATCTGTTTTTTACTGAGGGTAAATTTATACCAGTACTAGCATGTAACATAGAAACTTGATACTAATACAGGGTGTTTCTTGTCAAAAATCATGAAATTTGATGTTTTATATATTAATATTAGTAATATATCACCAAATCTTTTTCTTTTCCTATAGATTAGGAGGAAAACTTTTTTTTTAAATCATGAAGTATATTTTCAGAAAAAATTGATGTACATGCTAATATTATCAATATGAGTAATATATTATCAAATATTTTATCTTTATTTCCGAGAGAATACTATAGTAAGTTTATGATTACACGATCATCACTGCTGCTAATAAAGATCGTGTGATGTAGGGAAGTTTTTTCAAACCTTTAGAGACAGAATCTAAAAAAGACATGTCATGAAGGAAGGTGACTGTTACTCATATTTTGTGTAAAATGTGCCGTGTCAAGACCTTACCCTTGCTAGATAGATCAATTAGGCTTCTAATACGTATTGCAGTATATGATATTTTTTTTTTTAACTTTTTGTAATACAATCTGAAGTGTGTCATAACTGAACATTACTAATGTTATTACTGCTGCCAAAATTTTTTTTTTTTAAACTCAGTCGTAAAAAATTGAAAATGAGTCGGTTTACCCATAAATTTCAGGTTTTTTTTACGTTTCACAACAAAATATTACTCATATTAATTGTGTATGACGTGTGCAAAATCTTAATCCCTCCCCCCCCCCCCCCCACTCATTTGAGGCCTCCTATCATCCAAGATTAACATCTGATTAACTAATGAGCTGACATCATTAGGTGACTAATTAGTTTACAATATTGGGGCCAAGTCATGACTTAGTTTTTGGCACCAGATGTAAGATTGGAATGATCTATGTGTACTTAGTCATCTATATTAAAGTGACTACCTCTGTTAAAGTACAACTTATCCATGTGATTTTAGACTGATATATCCCCCACTTCCCCCACTCCCCCCCAAACCCCCTCCACTTTCCCTGTATAAAAATATTTGAGCCTGGTATATTTTCTGTTGCCCTCCTTTGATAAAGTAGGACATCAATGTGAGTTCTTGAGCACCTTTTAAGTAAAATTTTGTGATATATTTGGGTATGAAGACATAATTGAAGGACATGTTTGAGGAAGTCTTCCCCATCTTATGCTTGATTGGTTCTCTGAGGTAATTTGATTTTTGAAAGTTGCTCAAAAAGGGGGACTCTTCCTTTTTCAGTGGCCCAACCAAGGGGCCCTTTGTCTTTGAATTCATATATTCCAACCAAACTCATAAACAAGTCTCTATTAAATATCATTGCTAAATAAATTACTTCTCTAAAAACTCAAAGTTATAACAGAAAATAACACGTTTTAATCTGTTTTACTTAAGATATGCTATAAATTTGATACATTTCGACCTGTAGTGACATAAACTATACATTATATGCATATATTCCTTCAGATAACGGCCTGGTGGAATATATCACATACTTGATTATCAAGACGTATAGTACTGTAGATATTCCTTTACACAGAGACTGGAAAATCAAATCTTTTAACCTACCTAATAAAAGAATCCTCACATCTTTATGTTTGAAGATTCGAGTCCAGAATTGACCCATTTTCACCAAATGTTCTTCATATGTGAATTATTTTAAACTTTTCAATCGCCAAGTTACTCCCATTGTACGTCATTAATCCAAAATAATCAAGTTTTTGGGGAAAATACGCCGTCTATATTTGAACCGTTATCCGTCTGTTATAATTGCCAGTTAGTGAAATATAATCGTGCAGACGATACTTTGTTTTATTGAGAATGAGGCTGGCGTGCGTTATCAGTGGTATTACACGGCAAGCTGTGGTATATGATATTTAGATTGTGGATATATCACAATGCACGCGCAATATTGCCATTGACGTCGTTCGCTACGGCACATGCATGTAGGCGTTTTAAAACACAGTTGCTTTATTTGCAGGAATTCTATTTTTAAGTTATAACGATGAAATGCAAGATATTTCAAATCTTATAAAAAATCGTCCGAAATTTCAAACAGTAGTTATAGTTATCAAACTGTGTAATGTGCATTATAGTCATTGCTTTCCTGTGTACTTTAAATATCCTTCAACAGTTCGAATTCGAGAAAAAAAAATAGCTTACAATAATGTTCCTCCATTACACACTGCATAGCATTAATCGACTTCATTGGCTACACAATGGGCTTCACTTTGGGTTTGTATTTTAAGCCCACCGTTTTCTGTGTTCGCTTTTACGATTGAAGGGAAGTAACTCTTGTATTGAGAATTGCCCAGAAAAACGAAGATAAAATTTAAAAAAAAGAACCAAATCAAATTCATAAGTAATTTAAGTTTTATCATCATAGAAAAGTAGATTTTATTTTCAAATTACAATGTTTCAATAAAACAAATGCTTTCATATATAGTTAGAAATAGAATTTCGTTTTGTTTCCGGTTAGTGGTCTTCAATTTTAATCAAAATGGCTGAAAAAGTAAGGTCAGAAGATATCCTTGGCCAGAAATGGGACCGGTGCCTCTCAGATACCGCGATAAAATCAGGTAGGGTATCTAAATTTTGACCAAATGATGTTCAGGTGAACCGTAGGCCATTGGGACAAAGTAGCAATGAATTTTTTTTTGTGTTAAACTCCAAGAGTTGTCAAAGTTGCATCACGTTTTTTTTTTTGTTTCATTTTCATCCACATCCACATTAACAACATTTTGATCAATGTAAAGGGAATATTTGTTTTGCAAGTGGATAAAGCTTTATTTCTCTTTATTGTATCTTTTTCAGTTAGTGGTCTAGGCCTTGGAATTGTTTTTTCAGTCATATTTTTTAAAAGTAAGTTAACATTCTTTCAGACTTCTCACACGGCTAACAAGAGAAGAGCCTCAGGAGTCCTTTTTGCATATAAGACCCTTCAGTTAGGGCTATTGTATATGATATCTTGGTTTTACTTAAACTATAAGCTTACGCTTTTTAGTTGAACGTAAAACAGTATCGGGTCATCAGTGCATCAATTTAATTTTGTAGATTCCTGATTTAAAAATTATTTTGTCTTTCAGGGAGAATCTGGCCAGTAGCTTTCGGTACCGGAATTGGTTTTGGGATGGCGTATGCTAACTGTCAACATGATTTTCAAAGTCCATTTTTCATCCATGGCAAAAATGTTCCGGTGAGTTTTCTTTCGAAATATTTTGGTCAATATCTTGATATCATGATTAAATATATTTAGCATTTTATCACTTGATATAAAAATTTTTTTGTCTCAATCACAGTAGGGTGGCTCAGTGAGTTAGACGCTTGCTCGCTAACCTGAAGGTCCAGGGTTCAATCCCGGCATAGGTCGAGATAATACCTTCGGATTTTTCAACCCGGTTTCCCCCTGTCAGTGATGCAGGTGAGAGGGGCTGATATGGAAAAATCGTCTAGTCGTTCGGATGGGACAATAAACTGAGGCCCGTGTTCTAAAGGCTGTGCACGTTAAAGATCCCTCGACAGTTGGAAATCAAAAAAGAGTAGGCTAATGCCGCTGTCCTGGCAAAATTTACCTCATTGCACCCTGCATGGCGTTGCCCGTCTTCATTAGCCCACATGGTGCAGAAAAGTAGGACTGAAACTCCATTCATTTCATTTCATTTCAATCACAGTGTGTTATGTAAGAGCTGTTGTTTGATAGCAATGATGAATCGAAAGATAGAGAAACCCAAAGTAGAGCAATATAACAGTCTCTTTAGTTTTCTCCATCCCACAATTCATCATTGGTAAGATGAAAATTTGATAGAAACTCAAACTTTGAAAGTTTTTAAATTCCAGGTAACAGATAAAGGGAGTTAACCTCTGAGAGACATAGTGCTAAATTGATAACAATGACTTTTATTGGAATGTAAATTTATTATGATATTGTGTGATAGACAAAGAATGACTGGATTAGGATTAAACAGAAGACAAAAATATGTCTTAATCTATGGACATTTGTTTGATACCCCTAATAAAATATAACAATATATCTAAAACATGTTATTTTTTTGATTAAATTGACTTGTCTTGAGGGGATGCAACCTATGTTTTAGGGATAAAAGTTGGTACCAGGATTACTAGTTTGAAAGCTTGTTTTTATTATGTACAGTAACATCAAGCAATTTTGTGCTGAAAATGGTTACTTTTGGATCCATATCATCAAGTTGTATATCAGAGGGGAATTAGGCTGAAAAGGCAAATGGCTGTCTGTTGAATTAATTGAATTGGCCATATTGTACTAAATGATTTACAACACACATCAAATCTAAAGGGTTTGACTAATGTATTTACCACATACATCAAATTTCTAAGTTTTTACGTAAGTATTTACTACAGACATATTCATCATTAAAAATGGGGATAACTTTTAAATGTACTATATCCTAGCCATGAAACCTAGACATGGACAATTTAAACAGTGGGTTAATGTTGCTGTCTTGTAAATTTCCCTCACTGCATAACAGCAAATGACATGAAATTCATGACCCCAATATTGTGCAGTAAATTGGAACGACCATGTCAATATATAGGACTTGCTCAACTTTAGTCCTCTCGTAATAGATAAAACCTTAAGATAACAAATCGGTACAGAAAAGTAGTCGATAATCAACGGTGTCAACTTAAATTAAACAGAATGAACAATATGAGACCACGCCCACCATCTACTGGGGCAGGGGAATTCATTCCTTTCTCCCTCTTCGGAGCTATTCGAACACTCATCTCATTGCCCTGCAGACGAAAGGCTACTTCATCCGATCACCAGTCACGGAGGCATACACACAATAGTAGGCATTTAGACTTAAATTGCACCCTGGGGATTTTAATGCTCAACCACTCTTGAACTTTGACGCGACCTTTTGTCCCCAGCAAGTATATTGTTTGTTGGTCCCTTAAATTCTGTTAATGTTACATAACAACATATTGACTCTATATCTCGACATCTTAATGAGATAAGATGAAACGTACCATGCGCTAATTTCTCCATTGTGCAAATGACCTACATCTATTGCTACTTAACACTCAGAGAGAGTAGATCGAGTAGTTAGTCTGCGATATCATATAGCTAGAGCGGACGTTACATAGTCATATACCAACCAAGCACCTAGGTCATTTGTCGTAAGGATCTCGTTGGAGACGGAACGTTGTAGAAGCACTATCATCAAAATGGGCAAATGCAAAGGTAAGAGTTACCTTTATCATTAAGAACTTATTTTGTTGTGCGTTTGCACAGAAACAGCCTGATGGATATGCCTATACAGATTACGTTTCGTTGCTTTTCTGTTGGCAACTCAATTTGTCATTCAGTGAGTAGTGTAGCTGGGCAGCCCTCAGAAACAAATGAATCGATTTTTAACTCTGAATATGAGAAACCTCTTTGAATTTTCATTGCTTCTAAATGTATAGCATGCCTCAATGTAGCACAGAACAATAGGACGTAAAGCTTCATTCCATTTTTCTACAGGATTACTGGAGAGACTCAAGAATAACGAGTCTATAGTTGTAGCAGAAGGTTATATATTCGAGTTCGAAAGACAAGGCCGTCTGAAGGCTGGTTCCTTTGTGCCTGAAATTGTCGTGGATCATCCCGAACTTGTACGGAAGCAACATGAGGAATATGTCAATGCTGGAAGTGACGTAGTTCTGGCTTTTACAGTAAGTACATGTAGACTTTGAATTACCTCACAACTTGTAGGTTGGTTTAGACGTAAAATACACAAAATTCAGGTGGTGGGGGGGTGGGGGTCGAGTCTGCTCGAAGAATTTCCAATCTTAAATGCCCTTTGACCACTTAATTGAATTTTTGAAAACAGTCCTTTTATTGTTATTGAACATTTTAGTATTATGGTCACCGAGAGAAGCTTCGAGTTATAGGTCGTGAAAACGAGCTAGAAACATTGAACAGAAAGGCTTTACAAATGGCTCGAGATGTCGCCGATAGAACTTCCACATTAATGGCGGGAAATATCTGTAATACGACTGTATATATGAGGGATGATCCTGAAGCTATCAAAAAAACCGAGAACATCTTCAAGGTACGTTCAGGTCAGCCCTATCGTTAGGGTGGGGTACGTGAGGGCTGGGCCCCAGCAAATGAACATTAAGTCCCAGCAAAATCAAAAAGATAAAGATTTTGATACGTTTTTGGCACCTCAAAATTGTCAGAAAAAGGCCTATTAATCTTCAAATTTTCTGAGTACAAAACCTGAGCCCCAGCACCAATTCCTTCCTGGCGACGGGACTGGTTCGGGTAGCCCCTTTCGAGACATCTCTGCAGCAAATGGAAATAGAAAAAGATTCAGCTAATAAAATTGTCGTGGAAAACTTAACACTACATGGTGTTGTCAATCAACATCAGCCAATTCTGGTGCTAAAACCAAGGACATGAATCTCCATTTCATTTCAATTAAGCTTACAGCTGAAGATGGCCAGGCTTACATTTTGAATTTTTATTTACAGGAACAAATACAATGGGCGGTGGAAGAGGGTGCAGATTTTATCGTGGCTGAGACGTACAGCGATCTTGGGGAGGCCATGTTGGCTCTTCAATGCATCAAAAAATACGGAAAAGGTACGAAATCTATATCAAACATTGTGTTCGGTTACATCTCTAAGGACTTCAAAATGATATTCAAGTCTTTGTATTGTGTATTAGAGACCTTCACAGCTTCTTTTTTCATAATTCTGATTTTGATGTCAGACAATTCCACGTCAATGTGATGGCAAGCAAACCACCAAAACAAATTGGATTGAATTAGATCCACAAACATTTACCTCCCCCCTCTTCCACACAATTGACTTTTACGTTTACTTTGAAAAAATATCAAGGCCTTACCGACACCAACACATAAACGAAATATACATTGTAGGTTTACCATCAGTCGTGGCCTTAGTACCTCATTCCAAAGATCACACGTTAGACGGAGTATCATTCCCAGACGCCTGCAAACAACTAGAAGACGCAGGCGCAGATGTAGTCGGATTGAACTGTGGTCGGGGACCAGCGACTATTACTCCTTTGATGAAAGAAATCAAGAAAGTCTGCAAGGTAAAACTTAAAACGATTTGGTCATCTTGGATCATGGTTCTAGATACATGATTGGTTGATATTTTCACTGCCATCAACACAACCAATCCGAATCTTACATTTTCTGATTATATTAACCAGCGTGTGTAGGACGGGGGTGTGGAAGTGCCGAACTGCCCCCAGGGCTTTCGAAACCTTCGGCAGTTTCCGTAAAGCTGAATCTGAATATGTTTCAGAATGCAAGCGTAACTTTCAAGCTATGTCGTTTGTCCCCACGGCTCATATGACCAATACAACGAGTAGAATAATGTAATATGATTATTGTATTTGTATTCGTCTAACTAGGTGCCGCTATGTTGCCTTCCAGTTCCTTACAGATGTACCCCTGAACAACCCACCATGCAGACACTGAAAGATCCCAAAACAGGTATCCATATTGTATATATTTAATGTTATAAAGAATCGTGTCCATCAGCAAGGTCATCAGCCTTATCTCAAGTTTCTTGGCATAGATTCATCAGACATAGGTTCGGGTACAGTTTTGTCCACCATGACAGTCTTCGGCCTATTGGTGTGAACTAGTTTTGGAGTATGACCCAATTCAATGGATTTAAGCTAAACGCTGCAGTTTGACTTCCAATCTTATCAACCACTAGAGTCATAGAATTATTGGACAACCAAGTAACGAATTCTTAATTCTGACATTCTGATCTTTCTTTCAGGTAAACAAGCATTCCCAGTCGATCTACCAGCTCATACTTGTGGACGGACAGAAATTAGAGAATGGGCAGAAGAAATGAAAGCTTTAGGAATCCAGTATATAGGATTATGCTGTGGAAATGCCTCCCATTATCTCAGAGAGGTGGCTGAAGCTTATGGTCGATCTCCACCAGCCAGTCGCTTCTCTACCGACATGTCCCAGCATTTTATTTTTGGAAACCGGAAGGACAATAAGCCTTATTATTCGGAAACTTTGAGAAAAGAAATAACCACCGCTAACTACAAATGAAAAGCAGTCAATATCATACTTTGAAAAGGGAACCGGAATCGGAAATCGAGTAGCAACCAATCAGATTCTGACAAACAATGTGCTACATTGTGTAATCATTGGCTCATATTGAACTAAAGTTAATTCCTGATATCCTTTTTCCATATAGCAAATTATATCAATTTTTGTTAGTTTTGAATAAACCATTTATCCTAAAAGCTGTCTTTCTTAAAGGGAGATAATCATATGTATCACAAACAGATCATTTACCACGAAAGTATTGTCACTGTTTGACCCAGTTTGACCCATACAGGGGTTGGTTAAGTTTCTACCTTTTACAGGCCCCAAGCTAGCAATACCCCTCCCCTAGTTAAATAATGGCCTTTCTGTTGAGGCCTATGATTGGCTGTATTCGGTAACATACTAGCCAATCAAATCGTTGTATTAACAAACTTCTGTGATACATGAAAGGTGACTATTGCAGTCAAGTATAAATACGATGTTCGTATAATGGCTTTACATTGTGAAGATGCAGAAGCCGCTTGACATCGTGAAGATTATGAAGCACAAACCCGTGCCCACGTAAAGAGAACTTTATCGGGTCAACATGTATTTATCACGATTGAATGATGGAATGTAGAGCGAGGTCATTACATCATGTGAACAGCCAGTATGAAGATAAAACACTCATACGGGAGATAAAGCTCAAGATCTGATGATAACATCATTTTTTTGTAAACAAGCCGTAGACATGGGTCGCACAAAAGGTAAGGCAAAAAGAACATATTCAGCAGTCGCGTTGGAAACATGAGGTGAGAGAGGGGGTTTTAATTAGCAGGGGCACTGGGCACAGGCCATTTTTTCACTGTGGGGACCATGAAACATTCAGTTTACATACGGCTATTCAACACCAATACTTATCCCTTATGAAGTCAGTTTGCCCCCATTTGTACACCCCGATCCAGTAGGCTATCGCCGCCATTGATTTTATGTATATATGTTCATAGAGGCAAAGGTAATAGAAATCTCCAGTCAGATAATTTTGTCTTTATTTTGTAATTGAATTTATTCATTCTCTTCCGAATTATGTTAAATTTCATTTTAGAGGATTTTTTCTCCAAAATAAAACAGGTTTGAAGGAGCGGTTAGAGAACAATGAAACCGTAATTGTGGCGGAAGGTTATCTGTTTGAATTTGAGAGAAGAGGCTTATTAAAGGCGGGAAGTTTTGTACCGGAAGTAGTATTAGAACATCCGGAACTGGTTCGTCAACTCCATGAAGAGTTTGTCAGGGCCGGAAGTGACGTGGTGCTGGCCTTTACGGTAATTGAACATAACATTATTCTGTTCCAATAAACTTGAAGTCCGGACATAGGCTTACTAATCTGCGCATGAAACATCTTTCCCAAAGGAAGGCGGCTTCTTCATGATTTTGTTTCTATTTCAGTACTATGGTCACCGGGAGAAACTGAGGATCATTGGTAAGGAAGATCAACTGGAAACACTGAACAGACGTGCTTTAAAAATCGCCCGGGAAGTAGCAGACGAGACTGGTACATTAATGGCGGGAAATATATGTAATACAACGTTGTACGTAAAAGACGACGCAGACGCCATCGAGAAATGCAGAAGTATTTTTAAGGTTGGTATTCTCTGTTGTGTCTGAAGATAAGTCTTGTAAATCTATCTCGGTAATTTCATCTACATGTTCGACAAAGACTGAGTTTAAGAATCCCTTTCCAGCTTGTTTTTGGTGATCAGATCATCTGTATTAATGATTTCCGGTGTTCCTTTTACCTCCTGCTTTTCCATTATTTTTCGTCATTGGGATGATCTGTTAACTACCAATGGAATTCTGTTTTCAGGAACAGATAGAATGGGCTGTAGAGGGAGGAGCAGAGTTTATTGTTGGTGAAACTTTTGCAGACCCGGGAGAAGCTCTTTTGGCTCTGGAGTGTATCAAAAGATATGGAAGGGGTAGGTTGTCGGTTGACATTAAAACCGATTAAGACCAATGGACATCGTCGTTTACGGGACAGAGAGTTTGTTTTCTCTAAATCTTGAATTTAGCCAGTTTGTAGACTCTGCCATATGGATTGCGATTTGGTATATAAATACCATTGTCATCTGATTCCTCTCCTACTCGATCGATTTTCTCCTTGTTGCCAATGTCGTCTGTTTCTAGGTCTACCGGCAGTAATATCGATGTCCCCATTTGCTAAAGATACAACTTACGATGGTTATTCTTACGGTGACGTCTGTAAACAGCTGGAAGATGCAGGCGCGGATGTGGTCGGACTGAACTGCGGGCGAGGACCAGCTACTATTACGCCATTAATCAAAGACGCAAAACTCAAATGCAAGGTACATGTATATCTATCTCCATTTATGCAACTGTCAGGCCCAGTAGCTACAGGGCCCCCTGAACAAATTCTGACAACTGACCAAATCAATTACTGCATCATAAACCATTTCCCCTCCGGATATATTGCTTGCCCGCGAACAATCAAGTCTAGCTACGGGCCTGGCAGCTGTCCCGGCAAAATTTCCCTTATAGCACACTCAATGGCTTTGCATGTTGTCATTATCTCCACCTGAAGTAAATGTATGAAGTAAATGAAGTATTTATTTCATCTAGGCCTGTACAATCTCTTTCTCTTTCTCTCTTAATTTTAACAATTTATCCCTAGGGTCCACTAGCCTGTCTCCCTGTAACTTACAGAACAACCGAAAAACAGCCAAACTTCCAGAGTCTTGCAGACCCCGTAACAGGTAATAATAAACATCTTGTTCTGGTGGGTGTACTTTTGGAATGGGTATAGTCCAGGACAGCAGTATTCAAAGCTCTGAAACATAAGACATAGAAAAGCAGACGTCGCAAACACAAATTGGCCTTCAGAGAGTAACCACTGATACAATTCTTGGATATTGTCACAGCCCTGTACATGTTCGTTTACCATTGCTGTATATAATGTAAGTTTGCATAATTAGGCATGTGGACTCTCCGAAAGAATGACCAAGCTGCATTTTGACATCAGATGACCTTAAAGGATAAACAATACATGCCTTGCTAACGACATTTCTCAAAACAACCATTCTGCTACATATCTATATATAGTTAGACACGATAGTTTTGTGAGATAACGAGATGACATGGCAGAAAATTAATTTGGTACAAATAAACAAACAAGATATCTTATCACCTAGAACAGGTCTTAAACAGTTTCTTGTTGATAAAATTCCAGGTCAGAAGGCGTTTCCAGTCGATCTACCAGCTCATACTTGTGGACGGACAGAAATCAGAGAATGGGCAGAAGAAATGAAGGCTTTAGGAATCCAGTATATAGGATTATGCTGTGGAAATGCGTCCCATTATCTCCGAGAGGTGGCTGAAGTTTATGGTCGATCTCCGCCAGCTAGTCGCTTCTCAACCGACATGTCCCAGCATTTTGTGTTCGGGAACCGGAAAGACAACAACCCTTACTATACGGAAACTATGAGGAATTATATGGTTCAGTAAATATAGCTTGTAATAGATATAGCATATTATTAGAAATAAAATTTACCTCCTACCTTCCTCCAATTTTTATTTTAATCAGATTGAGTGAAGTAACCTACAGAAAATACACTAAACCAAATATCTAGATCTGTATTATAATCAGAATACTAATAGGCCTACAAGCAAATCTTTTTTAAGAAGATCGTTTATGAATTTATTTATTAAATATCGAGCTTCTGTGGTATTTATGTAATTTAACGAGCTAATTTCTAAGCCCTGCGATAATCAAGGGGCGAAACTCTAGATTTGAGACTGGACAATGTTTCTTTATTTACTGTCAAATTTTAACAGGAAAAGGAAAAGGGGTGTATTTTAGGCCTAATCTGAATATTCGTCATTATAATTATGGTAATGTAACCCTTTTTAATCATTCTTTATCAGTCTGTGCTATATGTATCACATTTTTTTCTGTAAAGACGTAATTTTGGCTTTTGGCTTCAGTGGTATGACGTTATAGGCTTGTCGTTTAATTGTCGGATTGGTAACAGTAGGATAGGTAATAGCCTATGGTTGAGTAGGTCCTATAGGCCTATGACTATTGACATCGATAAATGTTGAACATAATATTTGAACTAAATGTTGATGAATAGGCTACTTGTGTAGTCTCATAGAATGTAGCCATCCTATGCAACATAAGATCCATAATGAACTAGTACCAGGTTGAACTCTAACATGATTTGACTAAATGCATATAATGTAGACAATTATAATGATATCAATAGAATGCTTGTGTTCTAATGAGGCACAGTGGAAATGATATTAACATAACTTGAATAACAATGGAATAGCAAATGTATACACATGTATTTTGTGGACCTAGTTTGTAGGACTTTAATTATAACTAAGCTTATGCATTTAGCTAATGATTTGAGTGATGAAATTACACCTTTGCCCTTGTGTTAAGTCGTTTTATCTTTTTATTTTACAGATATGACAAAAAAAATAATATTTGATTGAGAAAATAAAACCGAAAGTGAAACCAGAATGATATACCTGTATATTTTTCCATACATTTTTATGGTGGTGACTCTATCAGGTAATTTTATTCATGTAGTAAAGTGACCATATGCTTTATGGAAACTATAAATGAACATTTGAATGTATTATAGCATGGTTATTTAGAAGCTCTTTAACTCTTAGACTCAACATAGATGTTGATGTAAACAATATTTATTCATGATTTACTAAGTTTTCATTTACTCAGATAAACAATTGTGTCATAAAATATCCAAAGCTTATATCAACTTGTTATTTAACTGTCATATACTAATTAAAAGTAAGATTACTATTACCCCCACCCCCCTCCCCCCTTTCTAAATCTGTTGCCCAGATCATGTGATGATTAATTGTTGTTCCTCTAACTACAGGTATTTATAGTGACTGTCCCCCAGCCAATGTTAATGATGGTACAGTGACCAGTTATAACTATATAGATCCTCAGAATTATGATAGGTTTGTTATTGGTTAATATTTTAGTCCACATAGATTTGTCAACTCGATACCCCTTTCAGAGAGTTCACATAGCTAATAATGTTTATCAAGCATTTTGGTTTGTCAATTCCAAACCCCTGTTAGAGAGTCCACTAGCTAATGTTTATTTTGTATATGTAATACACTTGATTTATTTGTCCATTGTAGAAACTATTCTACCTATAGTTCTGACCGCCGACCATTAGGTTATGAAAAAACCACAGTTTATTTCGGGGTGGGGATTCCTCATCCTTGTATTAAAGTTACAGATGCTAGAAACAGAATGTTTGAAATTATGGTAAGGATATGTTATTGGACAAAGCCCAAAATTTATAGAGGGCTGGGAAAATCTCTCCCAATAAAGTCCCATCCCTTCAGGGGACTGGGATTATTTCCCCCTTTGGAATAAGTCCAATCCTTAAGCCTATATCAAAGGATCGAAAACAAACCTGAGCTCAGTATTTTCAAACTAAATGTCCTGATGAGGACTTTATATCTGGAATATGAGTTGACAACCAGTCTTGTCAGTTTATCAGAATTTGAGCTTTTCTAAATTACATTTTTTTCACTTCAGATTCAAACCACCCCATCCGCAAAAATATGGTAAGTTACAATATTATCAATTTGACCTTTCAAATAACTTGGTCTGAATTCAAAAATCATGTGACCAGTTATATTTATGTGATTAGGAATAGCAGGTTTAAACAGTAGTAGTTGAGAAAGTCTTTATTGCCATTCTGATAGAGATTTTGTTAATTATCTATCTTCAGTTTGAAAAAAGGAAAAAGGTCTCAAGAGTTGTGTGGAGTAAGTTTTTTTCTGTACTTTCATTTTCTTTTTTTATG